GACAGACGTTTACGGAACAAGCCAAATAATTCAGCCCGATTAAAGAAAAACATGCTTTCAACACAACAAGTGATATTTGGGGTTTGCTGGTTGGTGATCTGTATATGTAGATAGAGACAGACACAACCTTAAAGACCAGCCACACATAAACGTGAACTCTGTATTGAATTCTGAGATTGCACAGCTAATTAACAAAGAAGGAGTGAAATTCTCCTTGTACATCTTCAACTCTCACGGTTAGAGTAAATCGTTTTTGTTCTTTTGTTAAGGAGCCCGATGGGACCAAACACAAGTCGGCTCGATAACTTGGCAGAATGAGTATAAGTCTTAAGAGGACTCCTGTACTGCCCCGGCCCCCGGCGCTCTCATATGATTCCTGAGAACGAGCGGTCCTCTCGGTCATGAGTTAGCATGTTTCCTGGCTCGCAGCAACTTTCCCAACAACAAGGTATGTCTATGTGACCTGGGTTATAAATTGGAGATCAGTGGGTTCTTTGGTGGTTTTGCGTCATATACTGTGTTCATTGAGCCATCGTGGTGCCACAAACCAATGGTATCAGTGGCAGTGTATCTGGCATGGATGGTGTTTTAATCTGATATGAGGATGATGATGAACAAAAACAACAACAACAAAAAACAACAAGCAGGGGAGCGCCTGCCGGGCCCTCGGGGGTATTAAAAAAAGCCTGAAATGGGACACCGGCTGGTTTCCTCGAGGACACACGGGCCGTCCGCGAGACAAATCTATTTTGCAGAAAGACCAGCCCGAACCCCTCAACCATAACTCCTGGGGCGATGCTTCCCGAGGGTGGTGGGAGGGGGGGTGAGACCACACGGACGGCAAACGGGGGCATTGGGTTTCACCGAGGAGACCGATGTTCCGTATCAAACAAACCGGACAGATCGCTAATCTGATTGTCTCACACTCACTCGTGCAGCCAAATATATCAAAATCTAATTGCCTCTCACTCTTGCAAAGTAAAACATGATGCAATCAACCTCCCCCCCCCCCCCCACCACCACCCCACACACCCGCCGCGTATTGAATTATGATCTGCCACCGGCCTCCTGTTCAGAAGAGATCTTTATTTTTCGTCCCACATCAAACGTTGTCGGCTCTCCAGCGTTCCTTGGATGCGTTTATTCAGCCCTTCATTTGAGTCAAAGAAGACAATTGTTCCTGGGGGAGGGACCCGGGTCAGCCAGAATACAATCATATGATTTCCGGTTTCTGGGGGCGGACGGGCCTCACAGTTGTTGTGTATTTCAGCACCCCCCCCCCCCCCCCCCCTCGTCCAGCAGCGTGAAGCGGATCATCAGCACAGCAAACCACTTCATTAATAAACAAGCACCGTCACACAGGCGTTAGCGAGGGGCTCCGCGGCGCTACGCCCGCCATCGGGTCCAGAGCTTCACTCCACTCGGGTCCACGATCACAACCTGAGCTGAAGAAAGGTTAGAAAGAGACGCTCACAAGTCCTTTAGGGCCCGGAGGAGGACGAGGCTCCAACAAGCTGGACTTTGTCACACGTAGTTCACCAATATGTGAACTCTGAACTCTGGACGTCTGACGATTATGCAAAGAGGGTCAATTCATCCGCAGACGCTTTGGAACAAGAACCATAACAGTAATTGTTGTTTAAATATTTGGCAGCTAAATCAAATACTTCATACTTCAACCTTAATTTCTTTATAATGCTTTTAATGCTGGACAGAGTTTATGTTGAGGCCATAAAGTCGTCCATGAATATGAGATATGAGTTTACAGGTGACACCTCGGTTTATGAATTACACTCGTTATCTTTTCAATTCTGTTAATGTTAGCCGTGAATGTTACATAATGCTAACAACACGCTACAATGTTAGCCGTGAATGTTACATAATGCTAACAACACGCTACAATGTTAGCCGTGAATGTTACATAATGCTAACAACACGCTACAATGTTAGCCGTGAATGTCACATAATGCTAACAACACGCTACAATGTTAGCCGTGAATGTTACATAATGCTAACGACACGCTACAATGTTACCCGTGAATGTTACATAATGCTAACGACACGCTACAATGTTACCCGTGAATGTTACATAATGCTAACGACACGCTACAATGTTAGCCGTGAATGTCACATAATGCTAACAACACGCTACAATGTTAGCCGTGAATGTTACATAATGCTAACAACACCCTACAATGTTAGCCGTGAATGTTACATAATGCTAAAAACACGCTACAATGTTAGCCGTGAATGTTACATAATGCTAACAACACGCTACAATGTTAGCCGTGAATGTTACATAATGCTAACCACACGCTACAATGTTAGCCGTGAATGTTACATAATGCTAACGACACGCTACAATGTTAGCCGTGAATGTTACATAATGCTAACGACAGGCTGCAATGTTAGCCGTGAATGTTACATAATGCTAACAACACTTTACAATGTTAGCCGTGAATGTTACATAATGCTAACAACACGCTACAATGCTATTGAATGTTTAACAATGCTAACAACATGTTACAATGTTAACCCTAAATGTTTTACAATGCTAACCACGTGTGAACCACGTTGGCCAATCCTATCAACCTCTATCCTATTTAGTCTTTTATGTTGGTTATCAAATGTCACTGTAAGACGCTAAGCTAGCGTTAGCTCACCGCGCAGGCAGCACTGAGAGAGCTCCTGTAGCTTCGAGCTGAAATGTGTGTAAGATGGTAACCCTGGATAATGGAACCGCTCGGACGTACTTAGTTATTTTATTAAAACGCAATCATTGAAACACTTTGCATCAAACGTTGAACGCTCGTTATCATGGACGGGGGATATTTCCGCATTAGGCTTCTCCAGAACAAAGCCTCCTTGTGGGACCTTTCTGGGTTCAGTTGTTTCACTTAAAAAAAAAAATCCCAAGCAATAAAGGTATTTTTCTTGGTGAAAACGATCGTATCTGTTGGCGACTCTGTTGCTATTACTGTTCGCTGTTAGTCTGTTTGCGGCTTTGGAGATTCACTCAAGAAAAAAACCTGCGAGTCAACGTTCACCAGTGCTACAATGGGGGGGCCGACCCAACTGGTCCGTCCAGTGACACCTTCTTCCTGCTGAGCCCCCCCCCCCACAAGCCAACGAGCGACGGCTGCGATTTTGGGGGAAGGTGTTGACCCCCATTAGTACTGGCGCCATTCCGCCTTGAGGGTTTACACTCTGCAAACAGAAGTCTGAAGATAAAAGGAAAAACAAACACAACCTAGTGGGAAAAGAGAGGGAAAGGTTGTCGTTATCGAGTGTGATAAAACGCATCCAGCACTCGTCTTCTCAACGTCTTCCTGTCGAAGTCGCACGGCAGCAAACATCATTTTGTAGGTTAAAGGCCCAGGACTCACGTCTGATGTGACATGAGTCAGGCCTCTCTTCTCCCACTTTATCTCCCAGGCCTGAATGCAGCGAGCATCACGTGGACTCTGCCTCCCTCTGCTGGGGGGTTTAAGAAAAGACTTCAAACCAACAGCCGGGTGGCAAGATGGTGAAAGGAGTATTTCAGATTACATCTGTGCCGAAGTTTCATGTTGATTATATTCAATAAATGCTCCGCTTAATGTAGTGATGAAGTGTAGCGTCTTCGTCACGTCGGTCATGAGTTTGTTCTCACTGATCCAGCAGTCTCCTTCAGCACCTCTTACATACTCTCATACGTTCATATTCCTCTCTGGATTCTGGAGGTTCTACAGACGAGTTTGTTCAAACCTCATCCAGAGAATCATTTATGCAATATTTTATCAATACATTATATTTTCTTTTTAAGCGTTAGGACAGGTCTTGTTCTCTTTCTACATGATAAATCATTTATTGAAATATAAATCATCTGAATGTACATGATGTAACATATTGAAACACAGAATTCACTCATCATATTGGGTGTGATTACCTATTATTACAGATACCGTACCGTCATCATCATCATCATCATTCACATCTCTGTGGTACTTCTTTCTTCTTCTGCAACAAAAACTAGCAAGGTGCAACAACCGATTGCAGATTACATCAGTCAACAGGAAAAGGCAGTGGCACAGCTGGTACAGCAGCGGGAGGATTACACATAAACGGATGTATGACATCGACAGGAAGCGCTGGTCCACAGCTCCGGTTCCCTCAGCTGGAAGTCAATGACGCCAGAAATCAGGTCTGTTTAACACGAGAGATTTCAAGGTCTGGTTCTACGATGTGTAGAACTGTCCAGTAAAAACAGTTAAAGCTTTTATGTGTCTTAAAGAATGTAAATGAGACCAGTCCTCCTTGTGGTCAGTGGTGGAGACGCGAGGTCACATCAGCAACCTCCAGATCTCCAGAGTGAAGCCAAAGCTTCACGTGTTAAAGCTGCATTCTGTGCAGTGACCAGCAGGGGGCGACTCCTCTGCTCCCATAGACGTCTATGAGGAAATGACTCTACTTCTCTGTAGTGACCAGCAGGGGGCGACTCCTCTGCTCCCATAGACGTCTATGAGGAAATGACTCTACTTCTCTGTAGTGACCAGCAGGGGGCGACTCCTCTGCTCCCATAGACGTCTATGAGGAAATGACTCTACTTCTCTGTAGTGACCAGCAGGGGGCGACTCCTCTGCTCCCATAGACGTCTATGAGGAAATGACTCTACTTCTCTGTAGTGACCAGCAGGGGGCGACTCCTCTGCTCCCATAGACGTCTATGAGGAAATGACTCTACTTCTCTTGATTTATTCCCTCAGTAAACATTGTAAACATGAGTTTATGGTCTCAGTCTCTAGTTTCAGGTCTTCTTCGTCCAGCGTGATGTTCATTTAGTCCATTTAGAGTCAAACAGACCATAAAGCAGGGATGCTTTAGGGCGGGGCTACACGCTGATTGACAGGTCAACACCAGAGAACATTATGTTGCCTTTACATCCTCCTCAGTCTGGTCACTTCCTGTCCACTGGCTGTAAACAAACAAGATGACCTGAGGCTTCACAACATCAGAGACGTGTTCCTCAGAGAACGTTGGCTTTTACTGATTGTACTCGCGCTTCAACAAAACATCCTAAAAGTGGTGCTCGTTTGTGTGAAGATCATGTGGACGATCTGTTGTCTCCTTGTAAAGGGAACCGGTGGGACTCTTCCTGTAGGACACAGGAGGACACCACCTCCATCTCTTATTTCCTCCTTTGTGTTGGAGCTGAAACGATTACCATCCAAACACAAACATGATAAAATATGAAAATGATATAATCGCCAGAGACTACACGTTGCCCACTATATGATTGCAAATGTGATTCCTATTGGAGAATTAATGACATTTAAATTGTTGGAAGCATTGCAGAAGCTAAATATGTGCTTACATGAAATAACTGTCATCCAATGACTCTTATTTACAAAACAATCACACCGGTTTGTGTTTTTCAGAGTGTGACGTCACCGGCTCAGGAGAGCTCTTCCTCGGGACAAATAGCACACGAATACACAGCGATGAAGTAGAAAAATAAATTTGAAAACAACAACAACAAAAGAAACAGAATATGTTCATTATCTCAACACAAAGTCCAGATTGTGTGATTGTGCTTCAGGTGAAGAGAAGTGAGTTTACCTGCACGCGGATTGCTGGTATCGGCCTCCTTTAGTTTAGTGCATCTCTAGTGGTTATATATATATATATATATAGATATTTGTATTTATATACAATATGAATGACATTGTGCTTATATTGCTGCTGGTTGAATGCCCAATAGAATAAAGCTCTGCAAATGAAAAAATAAAGTTGTTTTATCTGTTTCAGGTCCGTCACTCTGGCTCGGGGGTTCCTTAAGTTCCTTTAAGTGTCCACGGGGGGACGGGGGGGGACGGGGGTCCTAGGGGGGAGTGGAGGTCGTGATGTCACCAGAGGGCAAAGTGTTTCTTTTGTTCTGTCCTCTGGATGTGCAGTCGAGGACGAGGACGAGTCTTTGGTTGATTTAACAAGTTCTTATCTCTGGTGTCCTGCGTCCTCGCTGCTTCTGCTCTACACGGGGGGGGGGGGTCGGTCACAGGAAGCTGTCCTCCCCCAGGTCGCTGCAGTCCAGACACATCTCGTCCAGCAGCGTGATGTCCTCCAGGGTCTCCCCCTCGCGCTTGGCGTAGGTGGAGCTGCTGGAGCCCGTCTCGATGGCGCTCTCCTCCGACGTCTGAGAGCTGCAGAGGAAAAAAGTGCCGCGTGTGCGTTAAGTATTAAGTTGGCGTGTTGGGTGAGAACCCGCCGTGGACGAGGAGGTTCTCTCACCCGTGCCGGTTCCTCTTCCCGTACTCGTCGTCGGAGGGCGGCTCCAGGTCGGGCAGCGGGATGATGTAGCCGCTGTCGGAGCTCAGCCGCTGCTCGTCGAAGCCGCTCTCTCGATCCTTCAGCTTCTTGTTCTTGCTGCTGATGCCGACGTAGACGTCGTCGCTCTCCGCGCACACCCGGGTGACGGCGGGGTGGTCGCTCTTCAGGAACTCGCGGTTCACCCGCTCGTAGTGCTGCGCGGGACGGACACGTTAGCACAGAGTGAGCGCGCGGGTGGTGAGGCCCCGCCCCTCAAACCGCCGAGAGGGACGGATGCTATTGATGTGCCATGCGTGGGGGGGGCGGTCTAACATCCAGCTGCACACAGAGAGCCCACAGAAACACCCCAAGTGGGAGGTGGGGGGGGGGGGGGGGGCTTAAAAGGACGCCCCATTTTGAAAACCTGCACTTTGCTCGGCCTGAAACACCGAACCGAGAGGAACAGAACGCACGAGGTCACGAACAAGAGGAAGTGAAAGTGCAGGTGTCCAGAGAGGTGTGGGCGACCGGAGGGGGCGGGGGGGTCGGGGGGGGGGACTCACCCTCTTGTAGCTGCAGGGCAGCAGAGAAGAAACGGTGTCACTCAGACCCAGGAACGAAGGCCTCTTCTCCGGCTCGCTGTTCCAGCACTTCATCATCATCTCGTACCTGAAAGGGAGAAGAAGCGTCACTGTAACCGGAGTCACTGAGGTCCTCGTCTGACAGGGGGAGGGGGGGGGGGGGGGGGCGGGTCACGTGACCACGTACACGTCGTCGGGGGCCAGCTCCGGTTTGGACATCCTGTATCCACTCTTGATCTTGTTGTAGAAGCTGGAGTCCACGACCATCCCCGGGTACGGGGTTCCACCTGCGACACCAAAAGCACATTTTCATCATGCCGACTCCAAACCGGAGGGCTTATTCTCCTCTGGGGGGGGGGGGGGGGAGGGTCGTGCGCTGGGCTCACCCAACGAGAAGATCTCCCACAGCAGGATGCCGTAGGACCACACGTCACTCAGGGTGGTGTACATGTTGTCAAAGATGCTCTCGGGGGCCATCCACTTCACGGGCAGGAACGTCTGCGGGAGCACGGAGGGGAAAGCGTTGAGCCCCCGTTATGGGGAAAAGGAGCGCGGCTGTGAGCGGACGGGCGCGGACTCACGCTCCCTTTGGAGACGTAGTTGCTGTCGTGCATGATGTCCCGGGCCAGTCCGAAGTCACAGATCTTCACCATCTTGCCCTGAGAGAGGAGGACATTCCTGGCGGCCAGGTCCCGATGGACGCACTGGAGGGGGCAGAGGGAGGGGGGCAGAAGGTTGACAGGCAGCTCATGGAACAGTGGAGGTTTTTCCAGCTCTTTTCTATTCCTGTGAGTCTCTGGCTTTTTGTTTCATGCTGTTCCACATCGCGTCACAGAGCTCGACCGCTGGATATTTGGGGATAAAACCCGTGGAGCTGCCCCATAATTCCAGCCCTGCTGCTGCTATATTCAGCCCCTCAGACCGCTTATGGCCCGCCAGCGATTACACAGAAATGCGAAGCCAAGATGATTAAAAAGACTCAACTTTTTAAAAAAAAGGGACACAAAGTACTAGAAAAAGGTGGAAAAAGCCGCGTACATTCTTGGAGGCCAGGAACTCCATGCCTTTGGCCACCTGGTAGGTGAAGCTGAGCAGGTCGGTGGTGCTGAGGCCCTCGTTCACGTCGTCTGACAGCAGCTCGTCCTCTGGTGTAACACACACACACACACACACACACACACACACACACACACAGGAAACGTCCATGAGCTGGGGAAGCCGCCATCATTACGCTCCCACCCGTGTAATTACAGGGCCCTCAGAGCGGGGTGCGCCCCCCTCAGACACACACACTGACTGCAGCACGGGCAGGGGGGGTGGGGGGGGGGGGGGGGTGCGTACCTTTTTGGGAGGGGGGGGGGTCGTACTCGGACCTCTGGATGTCGGAATACTTGGAGGCGTCCCTCATCTCCAGCAGGGGGACGTATTGCGTGCCGTCGCCTTGCTTCATGTCCATGTAGTCGGCTTTGCTCTCCAAAGACAGGATGACGTAGCTGTGGGCGGAGACAACGCATCGTGCTGCACATCAGTGTGTGTGTGTGTGTGTTTCCGTGGTTCCGGCGTGGGAGGAATCGGTCATTTTCGAGGTGTGGTCGCTGTGAGTCATCGGTGGGGGGGGGGGGGTGATGTTACACCACGGAGGACAGAATTAACAGCTTCCTCCAGTGCAACAACATTAGGTCGGAAAGCTGAGACCACTTCAGCCTGCGATTCGATTAGGGAGAAGATACCAGATGATCCCCTCGAGCGAGGAGAAACCGATTAGGTGTGTGTGTGTGTGTGTGTGTGTGTGTGTGTGTGTAACACAATGGCTGTGTTTATGGATCTTTCTAGAAGTTGTGGACGCTACGTACTGAACGCTGAACAAAATAAATAATTAAAAAAACTGTCGTAAAGTGAAAACACAATGTGACAAATGGCAGCAACCTGTCAATCAGCGTGTAGCCCCGCCCTAAAGCGCCCCCTGCTGTATGGCCTGTTTGACTCTACATGGACCATCATTCACTAAATGAGCATCGTGCCGGATGAAGAAGACCTGAAACTAGAGACTGAGACCATGAACTCATGAGTCGTTTCCTCAGAGTCGCCCCCTGCTGGCCAGCAGAGAGCATGACTTCCCTTTAAAGAACCAGAGGTTGTCGCTTGTTAAGAACCTAACCGCCGTAAAAATAACATGAAAGTTTCAGCCTTTGTTTGAAATGAGCCGAGAAGACGACGGCCAACTTTACTTTTGATACTAATAGACAAAGAGTAATTAAAATGACGCCAGAGTAGTTTCTTTTTTTATGGATGAAGCAGAAAACCAGTCAAAAAGTTCCTCAAAGGTTCCTGTGACCTGAATAGTGTCTTTGTATATAGAAAGTACATTTAAATGTGTTTGCTTTCATCATCTCTCAACATTCTCAAAGTGTCTGAATGACACGTTTTTTGTCATTTAGAGAAACAAACCTCCTGCTGCTCTCATCTGCAGGGTTGATCCCAAAGATGTCCACCTCTTTCTTGGTCTTCTCCGGGTTCAGGCTGAGGAAGTTCTCCCTGTTCTTGTGCAGGTAGTTGACCAGGTCCCCGTAGAAGCAGTACTCCGTGATGATGTAGATGGGCCCTGGGAGGAGAACGGCTGGTTAGACTCCAGCGTCAGTCGGCAGGATGGTCTTATCAGCGAGGCCGAGCCGCCACTTCCCCAGTAAACACCCCGCCCACCACAGAGCCCGCCACAAACCCCGCCCACCACGGAGCCGCCTGCAGACCACCCGAGCGAGTGTGGATGTGCGTGCAGGATGCTTTAAGCAGCATTTGAGTTTATAGCTCCCGCGTCGTTCACCTGATTTGGTGCAGGCTCCCAGGAGGTTAACGATGTTGAGGTGCGGCCCGAGATGGGTCATGATCTTCAGTTCTGACATCAGCGCCTGCTTCTCACTCGAGCGCGCTGTGGCTGAAAGGAGGCGGGGCGAAAGTGCATTTAGGACCCTGCAAACTCGCCGATCAAAGGACGCCTCGCGCGTCTCAGACGACCTGGTCTGGTAAATCGCAAGGCGCCGAACTCACGTTTCAGCATCTTCACGGCCACCTTCATGACGGGCTGCGAGCGGCCGAGCCCGTAGGCGGTGCCCTCCACCACCTTCCCGAAGGCTCCGGAGCCCAGGATGCGACCTGGAGGGCGACACCAGCGGGGAGGCCGGGTCAACGACAGGGACACAGACAAACCGAGCCTCACAACAAACGCGTCAACGCGCCCTCTGGATCTCCGTCCACCTCCTGAAGACTCACCGAGCACCAGCCGGTCTCGGGGGAACTCCCACCGGGAGTCGTAGGGAAGCTGCATGGGATCCACGTAGATGTACTCGTGTCCGTCGGGACTCACCGACTCAATGACCCTCCAGCGGATCTCATAGCGCGGCTTCTGGAGGACAGAAAGACGAGGAGGACGCGGTCAGTGCGACGCGGGCCGCGTGTTGGGGACATTTTCTTAAAGCCTTGCAGAGTCTGTCGGCAAATTTAGGATGATTATTATTTTTTACTTTTGTTTAAAAATAGTTTAGCGACCACTTTGCTACAAACACAATTTCCCAAAGGTGCAAGCGAAGAATTGAACGTGTGAGAATGAAGGCGAAATGGTGCCACCAGTACCTGCTTCCAGATAACAACCAACACAATGAGTGAGATGATGACAATGACCAGCAGCACCAGCACGGCGGCGGCGACAGTCAGCTCCGGGTGAGGCCCTGTGCACACGCACACGCGTAAAGAAACGATTCGAATCCATCGGGTGTCGGCATTAATGGGACCACAAGGCGTGCTGGGAGGATGGGGTGAATGCAGGCAGCTGCTGTATACTTCACAACAACAAACAGACACTGTGTGTGTGTGTGTGTGTGTGTGTGTTCTCACCACTGGACACCAGCTTGACCTCCCTGCTGACGGCGGCCATGCCGTTGCGGGACAGGCAGCGCACGGCCAGCGTGCTCTCCAGGTGGCCGAACATGACCTGGCTCTCCAGGTTGCCGTCCTCGTTGACGTGCGACTCCGCCGTGACCCCCGTGGAGTTGGCGGGAAGCGGCTCCCAAGCCAACGAGTCGTTGGCACAACTGGAGGGGAAAGGAGGCGTAAGATGCGCGAGGTGCGACGTTGGTTGGAAGCGTCTCCGCCTGCTCTGAAAAGGAGGCGGGACTTACTGTTTGATGTTCTTGCAGACGAACCACTCCACCAGCGGGAGGGGCTCCCCTCGGGTGATGCACACCACCGACTGGCCGGTGGCGGCGCCGTGGTGGATGTCCATCAGGTCCACGATGACTGCGGGCACTGTAGCAGAGCAACAGGAACCGATTCAGAACTTTTGGCTCTAAAAGTTTATTTTATCGTTCTGCTCATTCTAGACTTTGGATTTCAGGATCTTCTGATCGCTTTTAGACTCAATGATCTCAAAGGGCTTTACGAAATAGGAAAGTAGACTCAGAGATGGACGTTCAGTCAATAACGCATTGAGGAGGTAGCGTCACCTGTAGCAGAGGAATGAGGCGGCATTCTGACCTTTGACCTGCAGCATCAGGCCGACGTCGCGTCTCTGGTCTCCGTTCTCCACCCGCATGGTGTAGTTCCCGCTGTCCTCCTCCTTGGCCCGGATCAGGGTGAGAACGCTCATGTAGCTGAAGCCGAGCGACAGAAACGGGACGTGAGCACACGGGGAGGAGGGGGGGAGGGGGCGGAGCCTCGGCTCGTCACCAGCGGAATCTCACCTGGTTTCGCTGAGCTGACGGAGGCCGATCTCCGCCGTCACGTCGCTGAGCGCGACGCCGTCCTTGAGCCAGGTGACGCGAGCGGCGGGGAAGGCGCTGATCTCGGCCCTGAACTCCCGGACCTCGTCCAGCTCCGCCGACTCGTCTTCTCCGAACTGCGGCCAGACGGACAGGAACTCGCTCGCTGGTGGAAGGAGAACGAAAAGGCCGACTGACAAATCTGCGGAGGCACTTTATGAAAGACCGGCCGGAGTCCACGTAACGCAGTTCTCCTACCGAACACTCGAACGGCCACCTCCTTGGTCTGGCTCTCGCCGCTGACGATGTCGGTGATGGAGCACGAGTAGATGCCGCTGTCCTTGACGGAGGCCTGCGGGATGGTCAGGGTGTAGCGGATCTCCTGAAGCTTCTGGATGTCTTCCACCGCTTTGATCCCGCGATTCGCCTGTCGAAGCGAAAGGGAAACATGAACTTCTGAGCAGAGAAGCTTCATCGACAGGATGGTTTCCTCCCGTCTGTGTGAAGCCGAACATCTGAGACGCAATTATCCCAAATATGTTCTGCTTGTGTTTCCTCCTGTGAGACGGTGAACTGAATGTCTTTGTGGACGTAACAGAACATGAATCTCTTTCCTGCTTTTCTGACGATTTAAGGACCAAACCGTAGAAGAAACTTCTGGAGGTTCAGACCCGTCCCACCCGTCTCCCGTGTGTCCTCACCAGTTTTCCAGGGTATTTCCAGTGGTCCTCCAGAATCTCGGACCCCCGAGCCACACAGGTGACGGTGACGGCGTCTCCCACCAGCAGAGCGGTCCGCTCTGCGCTCAGCTCCACGTGCAGCGGGGCGCCGCCTGAGAGGCAACGAGCAGCATGAGCACCACGTGTGTGCCGGACGGGGGGCAAATAGTGCATGGATTTGAGGGAGGAAACGGGACTCGCCTGGCCAGCCGTGGACGATGTACTCCCCGCTGTGGTGCTCCTCTCCGTTGACGAGCGCCTTGCAGACGTAGGTGCCGGCGGTGAACACCCCCACGGCGCCCCGCTTGCTGTCGTACACGCTGGCGACGGGCTGCTGGGTCTCCATGTTGACCAGGGTGACGTTGGCGCTGGGGTCGGACACCCGGCACTGGATCTCCATGTCCTCGTGCTCATACAGGATGTGGTTGCCGAAGGGCACCAGCGAGGGCACGAAGGGGACATCCGGGTCTGGGGGGGACGGGGGGACGGGACAGTTTCTCAGACCAGAAGACATTAAGAAACAAATCAACAGCAAGACTGAAGCCGCTGCGCACCTGGCACGTAGACATAGATGCTGCTGTCCTCCGCCTCCTCCTCCTCCGTGGCGTTGCTGTAAGAGCAGGTGTAGTAGCCCGTGTGCATCGCCGTGGCGGAGTCCACGGTAACCGTGGTGACGAACAGGCCGCTGTTGTCCTCCCGCATTTGCTGGCGCACGTCAGGCGGCGTCACCCAGGCGAGTTTGGCGTCCCCCTGACAGGTCAGCGTGAAAGGGGCGTGGAGGGGCACCACCAGCTCCTCGCTCCGCGGGAGCAGCACGGGGGCGGAGGACCGGGGGAACATCATGGCGGTGGGGGCTGAAAGGAGACGTGCAGAGCTCGGTCAGAACATCAAGAAAGTCTCATTCAAATGTTCAACTGCTCGTTGAAACGGGGCTTGAAATAGAAACTCACCTTTCACTCGGAGCGTGAAGGAGAACTGGGCGGAGCGAGAGTCACTGAGGACTCGGATGGTGTAATTGCCGTCGTCTTTCCCCAGAGGCTGCCGTAGTTTCAGAACGCTCAGATACCTGTGAGAAGCAGATGTTTATTCGGTTGATACTTCTCGCTGGGCGCTGGAGGATCTCTTCATCCCTCGCCAGCTGTCACGCGTCCTTATGCCGATTTAAACAAACAGCTTCACGTTCAGTCTTCTCCCAAAAGTCTCCTTTAAACTTGCTCCTCACCGGTTCCCTTCGAGGTGGCTGGTTTTGGTGTGGACAAAGTAGTTCTGTGACAGGTCTTCGCCGTCTTTCAGCCAGGCGACTTTGGGGGCCGGGAAGGCGTTGATGTGGATGGTGAACTCCGTCTCCTCCAGAAGGCTCACGAACTCCGTGGCCCCGATCCCGCTGTGGTCCAGCGACACAAAGGAATTCTCCTCTGGGGAGCGACAGAGCAAATAAACATGGGGAAGAGAGAGAGATACGGCGAGTACGAAGGAGATCAGAGACGAGCACATCTGCTGGAGGCATCCCATAAAACACAGCGGCTGATGTCGAAGCCAGAGGTGAAGCTCGATGGAAAATGACGCACGTGTGGACTAATTCGCCTCAACGTTGCGATCGTTTTTCGGGGTGAAAATCCAAAAGGCCGACTCACCGGAGACGGCCACTGCCACGCTGCCGACTTTGGTCTCGCCGCTGAGCTCCCTGGTGACGGAGCACTCGTAGACGCCGCTGTCCCGAGAAGAGGCCCGCGGGACACTGAGGGTGTAGACGACCCGGTCCGGGAGAGTCTGCTTCATCTGAACTGCGTCCACGGCCTTTAGGAGACGAGACAACGGCACACGTGAGAGTCTAGAGAAACATCTGTGGTAGATGGTAGAGGGTGAACGGTTACAAAGGCTAATGGTTAAAACACCCGCTCGGCTATCGGGAGATAAATCAGGATCACAGAGGCTTTTTTTTTAAAAGGGTGTAATTGCAACTAATTCCAAAACCAGAAGTCCAGCGTTGCCGCTTTCTGGAAGAAAGCTTAGAAGAATCCCAACGCACAGAAACAGACGACAATTTAGAATCTAGATATGATTATAAACAAGACTCAGTGGACACTTCAAAAAGCTGTCACGTGAAGACAGCATCTGTCCTACAGGTCTTACGGTCAATGGGGTCAAAGGGTTTACTGCTCTTTTTTGGTTTTTACTGCCTGCTCCCCTCAAGCCGCTTGTCCACGACTTCCTGCCGGTGTCTCTGCGTACGGGGTTAACGGCGGCCTGCCGCCTGGTCTCGCGCTGAAGACACAACATTCGGTCGCTGCTTTCCTAACACATACTTTGTGACCGCCGAGAGCCGTCCTCCCAGCTATAATCCCCGAGCGGTTCAGGTCCAAAACCGTTATTTGCTAAATTTAAGGCTCAGAGCTGCTGCGGGGAGGAAATGACATGGAAATGTGGCGAGCGGCTTGAAGTAAAAAGGGTGAGAAAAGGCTGAGAAGGAAAAGCTTATTATGGATGAAGCCGTAGGCGAGACAAAAGTGGAAAAAATAAAAAAACTCACAGAAACACGAAAAGGGGGGGAAAAAAGGCCACAACTTGCCTGTTTCTTCAGGTGCAGCCACTGCTGCTGGAAGTTGGGTCCGGGGGGAGCGACGCATGTGACGTTGAAGGGCTCCCCGGCTCCCACCATCTCCTCGCTGGCTTTCACCTCCACATCAAAATCTTCCTCCTCCTCCTCCTCGGAGGCTAACGGGACCATCAGAGAGCAGACGTCAGCACCACCACCATGAGCTCATTCATCACCGACACACACGCAGTGTGTTTACATGGTGGTATAATTGGAGTCTTTGCTTAGTCGGACTATGCTCTCTTTCGGGGGGAGGTGCTATTATCCCAATATACATGGCAGTGAATAAATCCAATCATTGGCCGAAAGCACGTCATATCCGATACGATAGGTGGCGCTGTTTTCATTACAACTAGTTGTGATACAGCCATTTCCGCTTGACCTCTTCACCACTACCAACAACAACAACAACATTAGGAGAAAGATGGCGAGCGGAGAGCGAGGTGAAGCTACGTCCCTCTACTGTCTGTGCATGATGTTAACAGGAGCACAGCGAATGCGAATGGCGCTATCGGCTGATTTGATAACGGAGAGAAGACGCCGTCGGGATCTCAAGCATCCAGTCCAGTTCCTCATCCGATTCACCGTCACATGCCGCAATAGTCGAACTATCAACTGGATCGGATCAAGTTATCCAGGCGTGTTAGTCGGATCGTAGTCGGACCGCACGTAGTCGGACAAAGGTGTTTACATGAAACGGATCATTCGACTTCAGTCCGACTGAGCCAGTTATTGGAATCCATGTAACCACGCGGACGCAGTGAAAGCAGGCGCCTTAAGTCATCTCCCTCTGTGATAATCACATTACGTCACACTGCCCTCATGCGGTGACGTCACCACGGACGGATTATTAAGAGTACCGAGGTGTAAAAGCCCCCCTCCCTCGGTTGTAGATACGAGCTTCTTTGTGACTTCCCAACAGGACATTAGTGAGCCTTAACTTCAAACAGAAGCTCTGGTCCAGGGCCCCATAACCTCACGGGCCCCCGGGGGCCTGAACCCAGCAGGCTGCTTCTGAAACCTGGGCCCGTGGCCCTCGCATTGTAAACAAGCCGGGGATTGATTCTACAATCTGTATCATGATGAAGTGTTTTCTAAAGCACCATAACTACACGCTCATGTAGAATATATAGAAGTAAAGCGTTGAAATGTCCCTTTCCCGTGTTTCACTCTCCTTCTTGACTTACCGGCGTCGGTGTACACGGTGTAGACGTCGCTGGTGATCGCGGCGCCGTTCACCGTGGTTTCACACCGGTACCGCCCGGGCGACAGGCTGCCGAAGAAGCCCATCTTGTTGTCGTAGAAGGTGTGGATCTCCTCCCTGCTGGGGACGCTCGTCAGGGTGACGTGGGAGTAAGGGTCCGACACGCGGCAGGAGATGGGGACCCCCATCGTGTTCATGGGGACCAGCAGGTTGTCGGGGGCCTCGGGGACGAAGGGAAACTGGGGATCTGATGTGTGCGAGAACAGAGGAAGGAGGTCACATTTGGTTTCATTGTTCTTCCATTGTACTTTGTCTCACGTGCTTGATTTCATTATTAGCATCTCACGCTTAAATGTTATTGTTGGAAGAAAATGTTAAATAATATTCCTTCTACATTTACACACTCTCTCTAAACAGCCTCATCGGGTCTGATATGACCACGTTATCACAATAATATTAATAATATAATTTATCCCAATAATTATTACTGCCGGGAAACACCGGGACGGATTGTGGTCAATTCTGACTTAACATTAGCTAAAGGCTAGCTTCAACTAGCCTAGCGCCTCCGACCATAACTTATAGCCCCAACATGAAGAGTGGTGCTCATTAAACTGATAAACAGTCTCCTTTATTTAAAACAGTACATTTATTTTACAGCCCTAAAACGGTCAAAGAGAAGCAGCGGGAGACTAGCTTCCGCTTTAGCCGACGCAGCCGCGCGCAATCGGCGCCATCTTTTACCTGCTACGAAGACGTATATTCCCGCCTCATTCTCTTCTTCCGGTTCGCCCTCCAGGGACCCGTAGGTGCACATGTAGTAGTCGGTGTTTTCAACGCTGGCGTTGTAAATGAAGAGCGTCGCCGTGTTGTAGCCCGACTCCACGAAGCTGTTCTCCGGGAGCGGCGGCACCCAAATCACGCTCTTCTTGCCGGTGCAGCTGATGTTGAAGGCGGCGTTCGGCCGCAGGACGAACTCTTCTTCGTTGGAAACGATGATCGGTGGCGACAGACCGGAAGTAACTGGGAGATGGTTTTTGTAAAACAGAATTTACTCAAAAACATGTACATTATGTATTTTTATCACGATACTACATATAAAATTTTCATATATGTTATATTATATAAAATGAACAAAAAATGCATGAATAATATGTTATAGTTTAATCATTTGTATAGAACTTACCTGAAACCAGCACCACCAGGAAACCCCCAAAGACGACACGAGTCCTCACCGCATCCATGATGGATGATGTAGCCTTTAAAGACAGAAAAAGGCAACTTATTTAATCAATAAATAAGTTATCAGTTATTGTTCGCTCCTGATTGGATGTATTACCACTGTCTCCACATTCTTAACAATGTTATGTTTAAAAAACATAAATCTATAGAGGAGGTTCGGTCTGCACATCACTGCAGTGGTGAAACAGTGAACATCTGAGATGTTCCACAGAATGACACGGATTGTTGTTTTAATCTTTCGTTGGATGGAGATAACGAGACGTCTGAATTCCTGCGCATGAGACGAGAAGTCCAGACGCGCTCCGAGTGGACATGAAGACGGCCGCTAGAGGGCGACACAGGCCTTCGGATGAGACCCAGTTCATCCCGTCCGGTTTTCCCTCTTCATCCATAGAAAATATCCGCTTTTACAGCTACGGTGCTAAACTTCTAAAAAGACGCACATGTGCAACAGTGTTCGACCCAAACATGTGTTTGAATAAAATATCTGTCTGTGTCTCTCTGTCTGTCTCTCTGTCTCACTGTCTTCTGGTGCTGGGTCACTGTGGTCATTCGGGGGGCCACAGTTTGAGAGGCGCTTACTCAGAAAGAAGCTTTGTCCAAACCCGCCGCTACCTCGGGACTTACTTCTTACATTTATCTGCAGAGCTTTCTGCAGGTTCCGATCGACCCAACTCCGACCCACACAATTCAAATGGTGTGATTTCTTGATTTTGTTTGTTTTGTGGGGGATTCTTCCGCCGCTGCGGGTAAAATGTGAGCGGATTGGCCTCATGCCCCCCCCCCCCCCCCCTTTTTTTCCAACGAGCGACTGTGGCAGACAGTAGATGAATTGCTTTGCAGGGCTGCATTTATTTGAGGAATAGCTGATGAGGTTCGTCTCCACTTCACGATACTGTTCACGTCAATCCAGCTTTGCAATCCAGCAAGTTTGATTTGGAAATTATCTTTTTTTTAAAGAATCCTAAACCGACAACGTGCACCGAGGCAGAAGCGGAGTGTTGCATCTCTCGCAGCCGTCCTGAGGAATGCGTCGTGGCTCCAAAGCGCTCTTCTTCACCCTCCTCTTCTTCACCCTCCTCTTGAATCAACCGACTCAATTCCAATGACGATTCATTTGTGATTTTACCTCCATTTCTTCCCCCCCCCCCCCTTTTTTTTATTCCTCACATTCCACGAGAAAAGAAAAAAAAGAAAACCCCAAAACAAAGTCCAACATCCGACGTGTTCCTCATCACCCGCCGGGCGGCGTCCCACAAATGGTTGTCTGCGCGTCTCCGAGGTGACACCTCCAGCTGCGCGAGGGGCCGAGAGGGAGCACCTTCCATCCGCCAGCCGCCTCTCCCCGCGCGGCGTCCAGGAGCGCGACCATATGGTGCCCCCCCCCCCCCCCCCCAAAAAAAAAATGCAAAGAAAAAAAAGCCTAAAAGAAGAGAAAAAGTTGCTTTGCATGCAAAACCCGAGGGCGGCCGCGCATCTCCACCTTTTGAATAAATGACTTTTATCTCATGATTGGAGGAACTAATTAAGTGCAATGAAACTCTTTATTAATCGGTGTAGATTCCTCGCGCGCTTCATTACCTTTCAGTAAATCCGCTCTTTGTATTCCCTTCGTGTCGGTACATCCACAGAGAAGCCTTCCTCTTCTTCCTCTTCTTCCTCTTCTGCAGAGAGCGACCCTCTGTCCGCCCGCGCGACGTCCTCCCAACTGCGCTCCAGCCAGGCGACCTGTAACTGATTCAATGTTACTGCCCCCCCCCCCCCCCCCCCCCCCTCATCCCTCCCACCGAGAGAAAAAAAGTAATCATCTGGCTCAAAGTAAAGAACTCAGGAAACGACACCCCTCCTTGTCCTCTCCTCCCTTTCGAGCTCTGGACCCCGTTTCAAAATAAGAGTTGTTTTTTTTGGGGGGGGGGGGGGGGGGGGTCATACGAGTATCCCCGCCGAAATGCGATTTTTAAATATAATGAATATGGATGCGATGACTTTTTAGGAGGACCGAAGTCGGTGTGATATCTATTTATCTATTTGGTCTGATCATAATTATTAAGTAATCTACCGCATAACAAGACTGCACTTTCAGTCAAAGACCCCCCCCCCCCCCCCCCCCCCCCATGACTTACGCGCGCGATCGTCACAAAGTGGAAAGAGTGGCGCGCGAGACTAGAGGGCGCTCCAACACCACGTCACCGCGAGGCACACTCACACACACTCACACACAGACACACACTTCTCCCGGTTGTGTTGTTGTTTTCCATCAGAATGTGACACGCACCGGTCAGCTGACCCGCTGCCACTATTCTTATTGTTGTTATTATTGTATTTGTTTACGCCTGTCGGCCACCAGCACAATATGAACCCCCATCTGTGGGCATCAGACCGGTGTGTGTCTGCGGAGCCCCCCCCCCCCGAGAGCCGTTTGTTGTAATTACTTCCACATGTTGCCCAACAGAACAGTGTCCTTCTTCTCCAAAACAAAAGCTCCGAGAGGCGAAGCGCACCTCGACTTCTTCTCAACTTCACACTTTCCTTCTGATCAAATCGATATAAAGTACTTTAACCTGTCAAAGCCGTACGGGTTGAGCCCAAAACAGTCATATCTGTATATCTGAGCATTTTTCATATTGAAATCTACTCTTTGACCCTCTTCACAGGAGCATTTACTGAGTTAAAGAATCAAAATGTTCAATATAAAACATCACGACTTCATTCTGGCTGCTGTCCCACATCGATCCAGACGCGTTGACTCTAATGTGTCCACAAAAGAAAACACCGGGTTTCCCCCTCATATGAAGTTCTAGAAGGAGCCTCTTTCGGTCCTGACGTCTCCACGTGTGTCCACAAGGGGGCTTTCTGGGGGACAGTCATCCGGGTTCGAATGAGAAGAGAAGATCCCCTTCGAAGGGGCTTTAAGCAACAGACGTTCATCCTTCCGGCTCGCGCTTCGTCCCTCGTGTCGTCACTGGTCCTGAAGTCCGTCCTGGGGCCTCCTGGTTCCGGAGCAGGACTCGGGGACCGTTTGGAGCTCGACTGGTTCTGTCTCAACGCGTTAGGCCGAAAATAAACGTTACGTCTGTCTGTCTGTCTGTCTGTCTGTCTGTGGTCCTGGAGCTGTCCATCGTTCTGAATCGTTGTTTTCACCGTGTTTTACTGACGCGCATCTCTAAAGAAACAATAAATAATAATCAATACAATATATTTATTGCTGTAATAATATGGCGTTAAAGAGTTCATAAACATACTAAATTAGATCATTAATACAAAACAACAATAACACGTTTGATATTTTACCAGCTTCGACACATTTTAAACTGTGTTTAGTGCAGAAATAACTATTTAAAAAACAAAGTGGTCCCATCATATCAATAATAAATAAATACAAATTAGCTAAATAGTGCATAAGAATTGGTAGTAGATGTAGCTAATATTACGATGTATTATTATTATTTTGAAATGCCAGATACATTATAATCTAATTGATCTTGCATTACTTTAAAAGCTTGTTTTAAATAAAATCTGTACAGATTAAATGTTATTCGAACTAAATGTCCACGTTGCTGTTTTGCTTCATTTTCTTTTCACTGTAAGATCAAACAAGTCCAATTAATTAGGCTTTTTATACGTTTTATTTAATACGTGTCCATTAAAACAGTCCGATGTCCCGACTCCAAACCAAGTGTCCTTTAACGGATCTGCGCCCCAAACGATCGCTGGCGTGTTCGGGGCGTGGCCTCGGGCGGCACGGGCCACCCCTGGAATCTGATTGGCCACTCCAATATCTTAAAATATGATTGGCTATATGCCCAGTCAGAGGCGGGCCACGGCGCTGAATGTAAACTGCGCTCTTGTTTAGAGCTGCAGTTCAGTGTTTAAGGCCGGCGCGTGTTTCTGCGTCTGCGCCTGCGCACTCGTTTCACTTCATGGTTCTGCGCGTGTTGCAGAGCGATTCACCTCCAGAACAACAGGCGGAGTGACGTGTTTGTGTTGAAGACGACCCAGAGAGTCACGTCTATTTATTTATTTGTGTATTTATGTATCATAGACTTTATTGCCACTGCTGCTTTTCATCGCGGACACATTTGTTCCGTATTTTCCTCCACAACTTTGTTCCTCTCGACCGGCAAACCGGCGTTTGCGGCGATCTCCCTCCGTGAATCCAAACAGCGCTCATATTTGCGCATTTCTTCCGACAAAAGTTCTTCAGTCTGATCCGTTTCTCTCGTAAACATTCTTGGTTTTAATAATGGCGGCATCGGGCTGTGAAAGCGGAAACGTGAGACTCCGTAAAGGACGCAGTTAGCGGACCAATCGCAGCCTGGTGCGCTGCGGGAGGCTTGCGTTGCTTGCGTTGCGCCTAGAAAAATGTCTCGACACGCGCAAGGACGCGAGGAGGTGTGAGAAGCGACGCAAGGGACGCGCAAGGGGGTCTTGCGTCTGCGTCGCTCTGAAAACGCAGACGCATAAAGGCTTTAGTGAGTGAAGTAGATATGGGTTGTGGATACAAACATGGTAAATTAATGCTATGCCGACACCTGGGTGTGGGTGTGTATTTTCTTATGTGTGTGTGTGTGTGTGTGTGTGTGTGTGTGTGTGTGTGTGTATGTGTGAGTGTCTACACCGTGTATTACCGGGGGCTCCTGCTCACGCTTTATTCCCCCCTACCAAGAAAATGTTGCAGACCCCCTGCAATCGATGAAAACAGAACTCACGTATTCTTTTTACGGGCCACACGGGCGCGGGGGACGGATCAGAACCAACACCTCACCCGCGAGAGTCTTGTTTCACACCGGCACTTCAGCTCCTTCCAGCCGCCGCCTCCCCGCGTGAGACAGCAGCTGCAGCCGGATGAAAAGCGCGCTTATTAATTCGCTTTGTCATGCGTAATCGGCACGTTTTCAATGGTTGGCTCGGGTCTCTAACGGCTCATCCCGCGCGCACTCCGCTTTGGGCCTGTTTTCTTCCGTTCGTGGAACGGTTTGATAAAAGTGATCAGAACGTTTGGGGACTCCGGCGGATCGATGCAATTAGTGAAGAGGAGAAGAAGTGGAGGAGAAGATAAGAAAATAAGAGGAAGAAGAAGAGGAGGAGGAGAGAAGGGGAGGAGGAGGAGGAGGAGAGAAGAAAATAAGAGGAAGATGAGGAGGAGGAGAGAAGATGGGGAAGATAAGAAAATAAGAGGAAGAAGTGGAGGAGGAGAGAAGAAAATAAGAGGAAGATGAGGAGGAGGAGAGAAGATGGGGAAGATAAGAAAATAAGAGGAAGAAGAGGAGGAGGAGAGAAGAAGGGGAGGAGGAGGAGAAGAGGAGAAGAAGGGGAGGAGGAGGAGAGAAGAAGAGGAAGATAAGAGGAAGAAGAGGAGGAGGTGAGAAGAAGTGGAGGAGAAGAGAAGAGGAGAAGAAGAGGAGGAGGAGAAAATAAGAGGAAGAAGGGGAGGAGGAGGAGTAGAGAAGAAGAGGAGGCGGTGAGAAGAAGTGGAGGAGAAGAGGAGGAGGAGAAAATAAGAGGAAGAAGGGGAGGAGGAGGAGAGAAGAAGTGGAGGAGAAGAGGAGGAGGAGAAAATAAGAGGAAGAAGAGGAGGAGGAGGAGAGAAAAACAGCAGGTGGAGAAGAGAATGGGCGGAGGAGAAGAAAAGAGGAGGATGAAGAGGAGGAGAGAGTCGTGCGCTGTTTTGGTCTTTCACACCTGCAAGGGAACTCTAATTCGATAATGGGATATTCAATATATATTCATTAGGTGCACCCCCCCCCCCTCAGAATAATATATGATCACCAGAGGGGTTGTGAATGGGGGCCATTTATCCCCCCACTCTGAATAGGTCCGCGTGGGACCCCGAAAACTTCACCTGCTTCCCCTCTCAATTAGGAATGTATCCCAAACTGACAGAAGCGAGTTCAATTAGGCGTTCGCTAATTTTCCAGCAGCCCCTCCCACCTAATCCCCCCCTCACAGTCTTTTCCCATTCTAGCCCGTGCCCCCCCCCCCCCCTCTTTTAATTCCGCGTAAGTTGAAAGGTTCAAACAGGCCTAATGAAACAGTGACTAAATCGTCCTCTGTGGCGCGCAGGAACCCCGGCGCGGCCTCTCAAAGCGCTCTGTGCGCGCGGGCCGTCGGGGGTCTGCGGGCTAAATGCGGGTCCCAGGGCAGGACAATCTAACCTGTCAAAGCCCTTTGCCCACTTCTATATATCCCCGATCCGAGAGGCTTGTGTGTGTGTGTGTGTGTGTTTTTTGTGTTTTTGCCCGAGCCACTGCGCCATAATCAACCGACGTGGGACCGAAAAACGCAATTAAAGTCGCTTTGACGGAGCAGATCCTTTCACAGGGAACAGTAATGAGTGTTGGCCGCTCCTCGTGGGGGCGGCACCGGGAATCTTTTTGTGGGTCGATCTAAGGAGACGTTACCGCTACACTTGGAGCTGTTTTAAATAATGTTTCCAAAGGAATAAAAGCGACAGTGGCGCTTAATAATAACAATAATAATATTATCTGGTTGTCGTGTCAAAAAGTGTCCTCATAACCTGCAGAACTCTTTAGAGACGCCTAACGGGATATTCATCTTAGAACTTTAAAGATGGACTTGTGTTTGCATAGTGTTGAACGGGTTTTCAGATATATTTGTTTCCTTTAGTGTGTGTAACACCTTCATGCTCATCATGCGTCATCCTACATTCATCATTACAATAATAATAATAATGACTATTAGTTATTTATTTACATTTTAAAATGCAACCATGGATGAATTTTTTCTGAGTTACACGAACACTTGAATACATTTTTTTTCCAAATTCTTAATGATTATAATTTCGATACTTCTTGATACTTCAGATCAATACACCGACAACTTCTCAGGTCAACTCGTCATGTTTATTACAATAAATACACATTTTACATAGTTTACAAATGCTTGGTCTATACGGGCTTTCATCGGACTTCAACACTTAGTGGGGTTTGACTCGGGTTAGACCCGGGTTTGTAGGTGAGAGCCCGGAAAGGGGTCAAAACACGTCACCGTTACAGCGCACATTGGGTCATACTTCCCCATATTTCACCACAGCGTTAAAACACGTATTCACATTTTTTTTTCCTTTTTTAGAATTCAGAAGCAGAATAAACATGAAACGAATATTTTGAACACTCCATATTTCATGCAGGTTATTATTTTCTTCTTCTTCTTCTGGCCCCAGAGGCGGCCTAATGGCCGTGAAAGTGCCGGGCAGCAGCGGGGGTCTGGCCGCGCTCAGATGGGGGACACCTCCTTCTCCTCCGACGCAGAGGCCGGGGACAGAGACTCCTCGTCCTCCGACCTCGAGTAGTCCGTGAGGCCGCTCGCGCACTTGCAGCCGCTGCTGTGCACGCTCCTCTGGGTGGCTTTGCCCTCCTTCTTGTGCTTCACCCTGCGGTTCTGAAACCAGATCTTCACCTGCTTCTCCGAGAGGCTCAAGTACGTGGCGATTTCGATTCTCCTCAGTCGGGAGAGATACATGTTCGTGGAAAACTCCCTCTCAAGTTCAAGGAGTTGCGTGCTCGTGAACGCCGTGCGCATCCTTTTGCCGTTCTGCATGTGGCTGCTGTCGGAGGCACCTGTTGGAGGAAGAGACACGTTTAGCTTTATTTGATCACAAATGAGCAAATGGCACAACACTTCGCGCGTAAATGCCCGCGCGTAAAAGCCGAGCGTTTCGTTTAAAAGCAGCTGGGAGTGTAGCTACCGAACGCGTGGCTCACCAATGGAAAGGCAGTGGTATCTCCTCGGGTCCGTGACGCCGAACGTGGGCGTGCAGACAGGTGTGTGTGCCGGGTGCGCCAGCGCAGCGGACTGCTGGTGCGCGATCCTGTGGCAGTACTGCGCCTCCGCGCCCGCGAATTGGCTCTTCAGCATGGGAATGCCGCCGCGGGAAGAGTGGAGGTGGGACGTGACGCACAGCGGGCACACGCAGAAGGTCCCCGTCTTCCTGGACGGGCACACCGGAGCGGTGACCGTCATGACGCTGGGAGAGTGCATGCTGATGGGGATGAGGAAGTCCTGTCCCGGATGCTCCACCGGTCGAACCGCGTCCTTGATTATTAAAGAATCGACGTAAAAAGACCTCGACATGTTTGCGCTGCTGATAAGTGATCTCTCAAGATGATGGCCGTTTCTCATCTGAACCCCCTCGGGATCTCCAAAGGTGCTTATGTTTGATGGTTCAACAAAAGGGACCCAGAAGAGGGTTGGCCCTGCAGCGTCACCCACGTGCGCACCCGGCTCCGAAGGGGTTTACGCTGTCAGCGACCCCGAACCACGTGACGTCTCCCCGGGCCTCCAATCACAACTTCCACATTCTTCCTCTTTTTTTTTATTACCGAATTTCAGAAAGGGTCGCGCATTAGGATAATATGACCAGACAGATGCAACATATCTGTGGATGTTCTCATGGACTATGTGAAAGTTCTGCGTTTATTCGGCGGAAACAACAACTTCATGAAATCACGTCACAAACAGCTTTAAAAACACACATATTTGTTCGTGAGGTTTATCTTGGTATTCACACGATATTTATAAATACATCTAATGCTGCTCACACTGAAGGACTTACATCTTTGGCATCAACAGAAACAGAAACTCGGAAGCTCATAACTTTTATTTTTCCAATTTTGTCCGTCAATAAAAATGTGTTTATTCTTAAACCCAAAGCAAATTCTAATTGATGCGGTGCATTTCCACTGAGATTTTAAGGAACTGTGCACGCGTCCGCACACGCACTAATTGCCCGCTCGTCCTCTGGATCCGATTGGTCCACGGACCTGCAGACCTGCAGGTCTCGCTCGTGGCAATTAAAGAATTATGAGCCGCCGGTCATTCGATCCCGATCAGGATTCAATTAGAAAGTGTTTATAATGGCCGCTCTGTGCGCCGGGTAAACAGGCAGCTATTCCAGAAATTCGCTAATCCCTCATCTTGTGACGCTAATTAGCGAGTTTGATCCCCCCCCCCCCGGCCCCCCCACCCGGGCGGGTCACCGGTAGGTTTAGCTTTCATCTCTCCGCGCAACGCCTCGGACCTTCAGACGGAGACGCGCCGGTTCTCCTCCGGCCGACCGGGCCTGATGTTGCGCCTCCTCATCGCGGCGCAAACCGGAGCGCGTGCTGGAAGAATTACAAAGTCTTTAAAATCCAACCAGAGTGACGGTGGAAGAGAAACAAACGCGTCTGTCACACGGACAGTAATTGCTCTAATAAAGGGAGCGCAGTGAGGACGACGCAGATAACGAGAGAGAGAGAGAGAAGGGGGAGAGCAGGGGGGAGGGAGGGAGGGGGTGGGTGGAATGATGCGTGGCGCGCGCCCTCATCACACCATGCGAGCTCTAATATTATTTTTTTTTCCCATAATTCTGCACGATAAAATTTCATTGTCTATTAAGTAATCCCACAAATGAGAGGCGTTATGAGGCTCTAACGAGGCCTAATTGGCGGGAGCGGAGGAGCCACGTGGAAGGGTTTAGGCGTTAAGCCGCCGGGTACTGCGCGCGGGCTGTTACCCCGCCATCACCCTCAGAATCCAAGGAGAACATTAGACCATTTAAGGGAAAAGAAATCCTTTGATTCTCTTCATTCTGCTTGAGGTGACGTGGCTGCAGTATTATTTTTTTTGGGGGGGGGGGGGGGTTAAGAAGCCAGTGCAACAAACGGAGCCTGTATCACTCACTGTTTAAAAGGTTATTATAAGAAATAAAAAAGGGAGAATTTGAAAAATGTGTAAAGCTCTCAGGGCCCCCGCCTCCCTCTCGCCTCCTCTTTCTCTCCAACGTCCTTTTAGCTTTTACTGCAGCGGTTACCCTCCACTGTTCACCCCCTTTTCAAATCACGTAGAGGGGCAATTAATCACCGGGCCATTCAATAACAGGAAAATTAGATTTAAATGGCTGCATTTAAGGAGAAGAAGGAGGAGAAAAAGGTTAATTCTCTGCAGTCATCTTAAGTGTTTCCTCCTTAGTGGAAAACAACATTTCTAGCATGAGAGTGAGCATCAAGGAGAGGGAAACGGTGTGTGTGTGTGTGTGTGTGTGTGTGTGTGTGTCAGACTCCTCCTAGTAGTAAAAAACACACAAACTTGCAAAACTTGCACCCTGCAGCCCCCCCCCCCCCCCCCCCCCCTCTCATTCACGCTGCATCCCATGCCGTATTAAAGCGTGAAGAAGTCCATTAACGTTTTGTTGAACAAGCGTCATTAACTTGTTTCGACGCCTTTTTACAAACCTGCCATTGTGGCCCCGGGCCGGTCTGCGGCCCATCTTTGGCCCATACAGTGCGTGATTTGCCCCTTTATCAGTTACCAGGCAACAGATCCTGAATACCGCAACTGAAAAGGGAAACACTCCGGTCCTCCGCGCAGGTCTCAGTGGCGATGGAGGGGGGGAAATGAACAATGATCCCGCGGACAACATAATGCCGCGCAATGACTTCTCATTAACAATTATCTGCTTGATGTGAACAGCAGCTGCAGTGGCCGCCCTCCATCTCGCGGCCCGCTGAATGGCGTCCGTGCAGCAGGAGTTTTTTTAGGGGGCTCCGCCGAATCTAATTTATATCTCGGTGAATAATTGGGTTTCTATGCAAAAATGAGTTGGAAATAATTACGGTTGAAAGCGGCGTGACGACCCGGCAGAGTGAAACAGAGGAGTTGCAGTTCCTTTTTAGGCCTCAAGGTAGGAGGGGGGGTGGGGGGGGTGCCCCGCCTCTTCCGGTCCCAACCAAAGTTTTGCACGTCAAGAAAAGTTGCACTGGTTGTAGAACTGTAGTCATAAAGTGCAGATGAGCCGTGCGGTTCCTTCTAAATGTACCATTTATCATCGTAATAATCAGTAAGAACATTCATAACATGCAGCTTCCCCCCCCATCGATACCGCGAAGAGCTGCAGGGACCAACGGGGAAACCGGGCTGCGTCCGCTTGGGGCCTGAGAGCTGTCGATGTGGTGTTGTTGTGCCCCCCCCCCCCCCCCCATAGAAAAGCCAGTGACAGCCTCAGTGTGAGAGGAGGCTGCTGAACAAAGCCGAGCGGGACCCCGTCCTCGGGCCCACGGAGGCGTCCCGAGCCAGGCTCCCCTCTAATTGGGGAGACGCTCCTCCAGTCTCTCCGAGCTGCTTGGACCAGACACTCCAGACTGAAGTGTGCCCCCCCCCCCCCCCCCCCCCTCCACAGACAACCCCCCCCCCCCCCCCCTGAGTGCGTCTGGATGTCCACACACTCGTGTGCGTCCGTACAATTAAACGAGCCCGGGAAGTGAGATAAACGCTGCGCGGTTAAGTTCCCAGAGAAAACGCCTTCGTTAGCGCTTCGTCCCTCTGCCCCCCGACTCCCCCCCGCCCCCCGCCTGCCCCCCCCCCCCGGCTGGCTTCCAAGAGACCGAGCAAAGGCCATTACCGAGGTGGCCCTTACTTCAATCTTCTCTTGCTCGAGTTGTCTAACGAGTCTTTCCCGTTGGGTCCACTCGTTATCGGCTCCTCGCTGGTCTCCAGCAGATCAACAGGCGGTTTGGTCCTCGGGGAAATGTCCTCCACGCGTTCTGGTCGCTGATTTAGTGAAGTCATCTACACATTTTCAATTTCCATCGGTGCTTTCACAAGATATTCTTGGTAAATGGTCGTGGGTAATGTGGATGTAACCAAGTGGATGAAGGAAAAGGACAGAAGGACGTCCCTGTCGCGTCGACGCCGTCAGATGTTGAGTCGTGTGGACGATCGGCTGAGAGGTTTGATGTCGTGTTAACCGACGTCACGTCGACAGCTACACGTGTTCACTCGTCACCTCGTTAGTTATCATCCAAGTGCGTTAGTTGCTGCTTTGCGGTGTTAACCACATTTGTGAGTTGTGCGTGTCTGCAATCTGTTCCTTCCGTCAGTGTAACGTTGTGTATTGATTGGAGTGCAACAAGTTGCACAGCCCCGGGGGGCTGTGACCTCAGGGGGTCGTGTTCCTCACGTGTTCCTTTTCTTTCGCGCTTTTTTTAATTTCGTGGCTTCGTGGGAGAAAATCAACACAAAGAACATGCGGCTGATGGGAAATATATTCTCTGTCTGGAGACGTCTCTCCTTGCTCTGTGTTGAGAAGAACATCTCCGCCCATCCGGTTATGGATGGAGACCAACTCACCCCCCCCACCAGAGAGACCCCGACTTCCCCCTGGAACCTAAATGAGGAAACGTTGCAAAGACGTGAGTGACGGTGGTTTCTCCAGCGCCTCCCCCTCCATCTAAAGGAGGTGATGTTGTCCCCCCTCCCCATTTGAAAGGGGTGAGATCCCGGTGATTGAGCTTGTGTGCTGGAGCAGAAGCGGGCTGGAATGTGTGTCCGGGCCGCGTCTTTTGTCGCCGCCCGGCGCCATGAATGGAGCTCGGCCGCCGCTCCGTCCGCTCCATCGGGGGGGGGGGGAGCAGAAGAAAAGGCAAAACCCCCTAAAAAGTTTCATCTGCACCTTCCTACCTGTCAATCACTTTCGCTTTCCTTTAGCAAACCGTCCCTGAACCAGGTGGCGCCTTCACTTGTGCTCAAAGTGGCCGCTGAGGGACCCGGTCTGTCGACCAACAGCAGCTCTCCTCGCGTCTGGTGTCGATTCGGAAACCCGGCGCCCGAGTAGAGTCATTATGACGATTTCCCTCGCAGCCCGTTAGCTGTGAGCCTCCTCCCCGGTTCCCGAGGTCAAACGGGGGCTTGGAAACAAATGGGAAAGCGTTCACGTTCCTGGAATTGAGATGACGGACGCAGTCCCCCCATCTATTACGGGGAAAAGCGCGTGATTTACTGGAGGATGGAGGCGGCTCGTTTGGACGATGAAGGGAGCGTCGATCTGGTTTCGCTTCTGTTTTTACAGCCGTTGGTTCGTGTTCATTCAACCGACGTCTCTAGAAGCCTCCTCGAGTCCTACATGAGCGTCTTCCTTCCTTTTTACGGGGGGGGGGGGGTATCATATCGCAGGGATCTGCCATCGTTCTCGAGGTCAAACCCAAGACGTTGTCCCTGAACACAGCGTTGAGGGACTGAATGTTCTGATCCCAAATCCTCTGGATCAACCCTTAAAAATGAGGAGTGAACTAAAGAGAGCTGCTCTTTACCAAAGAAAAGTCCTGCGAGTTGGCCGACCTGCGGTCTTTATTTCATTTGGTTTGGCGCTCGCATCCGTGGAGTGCATCACAGTGCTTCAGAGTTTCTTAGGCCTGGTCACGGGGGGGGGGGTCGGGGGTCGGGGGTCACGTGTGCTGGCCCGGCGTTTGGATCCAACAAACAAACCTCGGCTCTGGCTACTTCGCCACATGTCAGCTGTTATTCCCGAGTCAGGAAATTCAGCTCAAACCATCAAAAATAACATGAATTACTGACCTGATTTACTAAGTTACACGCTGCTTGAAATGTTAACTTTAAATATGCAAATGAGGCATATTATAAGGGTGAATGTATTGGAATTTAGTAGAAATCTACAGACACAAACAAGTTTCATGTCCACTAATCTGAAAAGAAGACAAGTTATGGAATAATAATGGATGAAAAAAGTGAAATAATTGTCAAATTTGGATGTTGAATATTAATAATATTAACCGTCTGAAGTCCAAACAAATCTTAAGCAGTTTTACACTGTTAAAGAACACGTCGTTTACCCAAACTGCCAGGATTTCTCCTTAAAGCAAGAAAAATCAAATGCGTTAGAATTACATATACAGTCATAATTAATAAACCCGTAATAAATGTAAACTGATTCAATGACATCTGAAAAGTGAACCTATAGTCTTCAAAAAATAAATAAATTGTCCCAAACAGTAAACTAATTTAAATAAGCTATATTCTTTTTGAAATACAGAAATTCAGAAGGTGTAAATGTGCCGTATATTATATTATGTATTATATTATAGGTATATTTACTCCAATCCTGCTAAAGTACAAC